GATCTTGGGGGCGTCCCCCCGTCCCCAGCCGCTCCTGTGGGGTAGTTTTGCTGTCCCAGAGCAAGCTTGGGGGGATTCTGGGAGATTTGGGGTGTCCCTGGGGGTTGTAGTGAAGCTGTCCATAGAAATGCTGAGCTGGGAAGGGAGTTATATCCCCTCTATAACCAAGCTGGGACAATCCATTGCCCAATCCTTTTCGTTCCCAAAGGCCTCCCCAGGTGACCCTCCGTCCTCAACCCTGACGTCCCCTTACCTCCGCCCACCCAGATACGTCTGCATCCGCGGCGTCTTCATCCTCACCACGGAGTGCACCTCCCTCACCGTCACGCTGGTGGTGACGCTGCGCAAGTTCGTCAGCCTCATCTTCTCCATCCTCTACTTCCGCAACCCCTTCACGGCCTGGCACTGGCTGGGCACCGCGTTCGTCTTCGTGGGGACTCTCATGTACACGGAGGTGTGGAACAGCCTCGGGCCCTTCCTGGCCCGCTGGAGGAAGAGGCCGAAGGAGGAGTAATGGGACTCTCTGCAGGGACCTTTTTATTGTTTTATAGAGCAGAGCAGCAGGGAATCCCCCAGAGGGGGGGTTGTTTTTATAGCACGGGGGAGGTGTTGGCTGTGCCAACCTCCTGGGAAACATGGAGCCTCCGCTGGGAACCTACCTGAAATGGATCATGGGGAGACAATGCGGTTATTTTTACAAGGTTGCTTTTTTTTTATGCAACTCCCTTTAGCTTCCAGCCCCCTCCCCACTTTTTTTTTTTTCTTTTAATGACTCTTTTAAGTGATGCAAATGCTGACCCAGTTCTCTGTTAGAGCCCAAACTAGTTGTGGTGCTGTTCTCCACTCCTCCCGGCTTTGATGAGCTGGATCCCGAGCCAGTTTGGTGCCACCCTTTAGTGTCCAGGTGCCCGAGACGGGTGGCAAACCCCCCCGGCACCGCTGCCTGTGCAGCAGGTTGTTGCTTACGCTGGAAATGCCAGGCCTGGCTGTTAAAAATTTAACCTGGGTCCTTGCCTGATCCTACCACCCGGGCGGGCAGGGTGTCGGATACACCTGGAGCTGGAGCCTTCCAGTCCTCCCAGTAGATCCTCCACTGGGGAGTGGCTCAGGGGCTCATTGAACCCCCATCACCAGTAGCAGTTTTTCACCAGAAAACCACAAAGGGGTGATGCTAAGGGGACAGCAAGTGCCACTGTGTCACCTTTGCAGCCTTCTCAGGGAGACGGTGAAGTGCTGTTGAGGCTTCCGAGTCCTTCTCAGACATGGATACGTCACCAGCTGGAGGGTGTCGTGGGGTCCTCCCGCTTCGGGTAGGTCCTTGGGGCAGGTCACTCCTCACGTGCCTCCTGCGGTCAGCACAGGTGTGTTCAGTGGGCTTTGTCACCAACAGCCACGGCAACGGACTGCGCTGAGCCCCCGACGCAGCGGTGTTGTGTCCCCGCATCCAGCCCATCCTCAGGGTTCAAATGATGCCAAGAAACGTCCGCAGGACCAGTACAGCTGAGCTTATTTATCCTGCTGGGGGGGCTGGTTCAGCCCGCCCTTCGCCCAGTTCGGCCCTTTTTCTCCCACCCATCAGGCGTCGGCGTCACTCGTGGCACTTCTGTGCATCATAGCAGGCTCCGCCTGGCGCAGGACCGGTTGTCCCTTAGTGTCACCTCTCACCTGGGGTCCTCCAAGACCTTTGGAGTGGCCTCCAAGAGCTTTGGGCGCGCGTCCCCGTGCAGCGCAGGCAGTGTGCATCCCGCGGCAGGGCGAGGAGCAGGAGCCGCTGAGCTGCTCGCTGGTGGGCAGAGAGGGGCTCAGCACACAGGTTGGTCTTGGTCTCGGAGCGGCGGGGAGCGCTTTGTTTTCATCGTCGTGATGCTGTCCCCACTCAGCCCTGGTCATTGGGGCACCCGGCAATGTCGAGTCACGTCAAGCTTGGCCAAGTAAGGGTTTTACTCCGTTGTCCTCCACCCAACGTCCCGCTGGTTTCCAGCCTTGGTGTTTTCAGCCCTGCCAACGTTAAACCTGCTTTTGTGCTTGTGGTGGGTGGATCCCGGCTGGCCACGAAGCACCGGACGGGGCGGGAGGGGAAGGGCAAAGCCAAGAAAAGTTGGGAGTAGAGAGAAAGGCGGTTTAATAAGCAAAAGAAAGAGAAAGGAGGAGGGTGTGGGAAACCCACAAGTGATGCAAAGGCAACCCCTCACCACCATTAGAACTGCCCAGCCAAGTCCTCGAGCAGTGCTCACCATCCCAAAAATCCCCTCCCTTCCGTTTTTTATCTGATTTAGCTGATTTTTATCTGCGTCGGTTGTCCTGGCTGCGCCCCCTCCCGGCGTCTTGCCCACCCGTGGCCTAATGACCGGTGGGGAGGGCAAAGTGGGGCACAAAAGGGGAAGCCACGATGCTGTGCAAACACGGAAATTCTGGTGTCAACACCGGTTTGGCCATCAAGTGGTTAAACAAGTGGCTAACAGAAAGTGGCTAACACAGGCTTAGCCCAGCACTCTACGGGCAGCGGTGGGAAGAGTTAACTCCATCCTAACCAGCCAGTGCGATGCTGCCGGCACCTGCAGCTCACTCCTGAGATGCTGAAGAGCTTTCCCTTCTGGTTTTGATTTTTCCTGAGCCTGAAAAACCCTTTGTATTTTGAGTGGAGTTCTGTGGATGGAGAGGCTGTTCCAAGGAGTTTTGTGGATGGAGAGACTGTTCCAGGGAGTTTTGTGGATGGAGAGGCTGTTCCAAGGAGTTTTGTGGATGGAGAGGCTGTTCCCCGACAACTGCCCCGGCACCTAGTGCGGGTCAGCTCGCGCTTCCAGCTGTTGGCGCAGGCTCCGGGCAGGATCCAGAAGGAGGCAAAACCTTTGTCCCTCAGCTTGACCTTCAGAGCTACTTACACGGAGCTTCAGCCGAGCCGGCGAGGGAGGGGGAGGCAACGCAAACTCGGCACCGGAGCTGGTGGGGTTCATCGGAGCTTAAAAAAGGGGTGTAACACCGGGCTGAGGGCAGAACCCGCAGTCAGGGCTGGGCAGCAGGAGCTGTAACTCCTGTTAACGTGGCCGTGGCGGGGGATGCCGTCGGGTTTTGGCAAAGCAGTAGCTGAGGAGGCGCAGAGCGTAACGTACTGTACATAGACTCCACGCTGGGTCGCTCGTTCTCTGGCGAAATTGCATGTTGTCCCCAGTTCCTGCGCGATGCCGGGATGTTGGGGGTTCCCTCTTTTTAACCACGTGCCGTGCTAGGTCTTCACTCAAACCAGGTGTCAACCATAGGCTGTTATTTGTTGTTGTCAGGGGTATTT